GTGGAGGGCGGCCAACCCCCACGTGCCAAAGGTAGTATAAAAGATCTATTTCAATCCGGATGTTTTCCTGTTTAGATTTAATTCCGGATGTTTTTGATCGTCGGCGGCCGGACGCCATGCTTTGCGGAGGTAGTATAATATACCTGTTCGGTTGTTTATGTGTCCGGATGTTTAAAAAGCATGGCCGTATTACAAGGTGGGGGGTCCTCCGAAAGTATTCAATAGTGTTTAGCCGGACCCCCGGGATGATGACAAGTATTGCGGTGGATGCCTGTGAGCTCTTCAATAAGGACGGGCCCACATAAGCTACAGTCTAAACTCCCTAAAGGGGGTTATGTAAGGGGTTATATAGGGGATTGCTATAGGGGTTCTTAAGGGGGATACTAGGAGTTTAGACTATGGCCCAGCCTTGAAGAGGAACGCCAAACATTTGTTGTTCAAACATATGGGTGGTTGTCAACATTGTGGTCCCTTTTTGGGTACCCTAGATATTTGGTGCGGTATTCTAATAGGGATCCAAAAAGGGACCAAAATTTTGACAACCACTCATATAGTTATCCATGTTGCGTTTAAACCACGGGTTTGTTTCACCATGCGGGCGTTGAAACATGTGTTTAGACAGCTTAAACCGTTTGAACATCTCCCGCCTACAGCCCCCTAGCGTTTAAACATCTGTTGTTTAAACATGGGTTGGGTTAAACAATTAAACATATTGCAACCCCACGCCCAACCCTGTTGATAGATATAACGCGTAAAGCTGCAGGTAATGGCGGTTGCAGGTAAACCGTGGACCCTCAATCCGACACCTTAAGCCGTGGACCCTAAACCTTGAATCCTATACCTTACAATCAAAGGCATGCTTCCCACATGGCTCGTACACCTCATCTCCAACCGCTTCCTGGCTCCTCGACATCTACCACTAGGGCTTAGGATTTAGGAGCTAGGGATTGGGTTTAGGGATTAGGGATGTAGGGTTCAGGGATTAGTTTTTAGGGGTTCTGGTTTTAAGGGTGCGTTTTTCTTTCCGGTTCAGGCTTTCTGGCCTTTAAGGTTTAGGGTTTAGGTCTAGGCCTAAATTTATTGGTGTGTAGCCCATTTGCAATTGGTAGGTGCAGAAATAAGCCCTAAACCCTAAACCCTTAAACCAATGGTTTGAGAGGTTTTGTGGACTGGGCCATGCAACTGTCGTAGCTGAAGCCTGTGGGTTCAGCAGACCCAACCATCCCTAGGGATCCAATTGGCCCAATGTAGGCAATATTTACAGTCTTTGGGGCCCAATGTAGGTAGTATTTGTATATTTCCATCCCTAGGGCATGTCTTAGGGTTCAGAGTTTAGGTTTTAGGGCTTAGGGTCTAGGGATGATACAGAAGTCCCTGGGTTCTTCCTTTGCCCCAGGGTTTGGGGTTTTCGGCGTACCTAAAGCTTAGTCTGTCTATCCATCTCCATCTCGAGCCTTTGTTTTTCCAAGGTCGAAATATTATCAAATCCCGCGCCTGCATCATATAACCCTTGGCAACAATAGTGGATTACACCCCAACGCTGTCGTTTCAGTTTCTGAAGTCCCAAAATAGTATCCCAATATAAAACCTATGATATATCTATAGACCCCCTATATAACTCCTATTTCATCCATATAAAGAAGCTTATATAGCCCGTGTATAAGACATTGCATCCTAAACTTCTGTGGAGATTCAGCCCTCCAGGCTTCAGATCTGGTCAGGCTTGTTGTTCTGACGTAGCAAAACTCTCCGGTTCAGGAGGGGTTTAGGGTTTTGGTTTATTTGTGTTGGGGTATTATCCCAAATGATGGAGAGCTAAATGGAAAAGAACACGGATGATGAAATGGAAGCTGGGTTTGTACGGCGGTTTATAGTGATCAGGGTTTCCAGAAAATGGGTTACCATTTCTTGGGAGTCCCCACAATGAAGATGATGATATCTTGTTTTTTCTTTCGCGGCCCCCTATTTGTGGAAACTACCGGAACTGGACTCTTAATTCAAAAGCCTTCCTAGGTAAGACAGGAGACATCTTACTGTGCCTACTTGTGGCCCTTTGGTGAAAGGCCTTTAAGGACCCTAGAAATACGTGGGGGCTACCAATGGGATTATGTATGGGGTCCCTGTCAATCAAGGATTGCATAAGGCATTGTTTTTGAACTCTCAGCTCTGCAAATCTTATTGCGTAGTAGTGGGCAACGCAGGAATGCATCCCTATAGTAGTCATTACATCTACCCAGAATACAAGAGTCTCCGATTTTCTTTGACTGTTCTAAGGCACTAAACCCCGACCCCCCCCCCCCCACATGTCCGGTCAAAGGGACCCAAGGGCCTCTAGTAGTTGCCAGGTTGATTTCCGTTTCTTCATGCCCTGATAACCACCAACAACTCATCTGCAGTCAGGATAGCGATTTGGCCTTCCTCCACTACCAAGAAAGGAAGCTGCGCCAGGCTCCTGCGGGTTTACACTGCTTGGGGTGGATGTTTATGCATTGGGTTTAGGATGTAGGTTTCAAGTTCAGGGTGTAGGGGCTACCAAGAGGGGAAGCTTCATCACGCTCCTGCGTGCTTACTGCAGGGTTGATACTTTTTAGGTTGCAGGTTACAGGTTTTGGGAACGTTGTTGAGTCCGGGAATGAAGCTCAGAAACTGTATCCTCTGTCATACTCTTACAACAGCCTGCAGTTGCTTTGGCTCTCCGGGGATGTTGTCTGGGTGAAGAACTGTCGGAAAAATTCTGTACGGCTTGTACATGGCTTCAGGTGAGTTACACCATGTGGCTTGTTGAGCTGCTGGATTTCCCATTGCAACCGGCGGGAAGATTAAGGGGACCCGCTCCACTCGCCCCACTTGCCCCACTCGCCCCTTCTGCCTCCCGTGCACGGGTGTGTTGGGGTGGACGTGCAAATGAGGCGAACTAGGCCACCGGGGCGAGGTGGGGCCAGGGGTATCTGGGGGCAAGAGGAGCAAGTTGGCAAGTGGGGCACGTGGGAAACAAGCGGGGCAAGTGGGGCAAGGGTGGCAGACCCATTAATCCCCCCACGCCGACAGTGTCTTCCCATTGCCATGCTCCGGGAGAATTGGTTGTTGCTCAGTAAGGCCGTTACGGTTCGCCAGGGCGTTACGGTTCGCCAGGGCGAGGGTCAGTACTTCATGGCATCTTCTCTGGGTATGTGTGTAGCACAGTCAGCTTGCGTGCCCAGAGTTGTTGATGTCGAGGACCGCATTTTCTAGGAGTGCTGTATAGATGGGATGAGTTTAGGTTCCAAGTTTCTCTTCTGAAGGCCTGTCAAAGGCTTGATGTGGGCCCCGTGCAAGGGGAGATTTCTATACATCCACTGGAGTTCACACAGTCCTCCAGGCCTGCATAGCAGTGTAGGGTAATTTGCAAGATGCATACGTTTCCTAGAGGTACCAGAAAAATTTCAGTATACCTCGCTCTATATCAGGGTCCCCCTGTTTCTAGAAAGTACCATACTGGATTGAGGCTCGAACGCGGTAAGTTCAGAGTTTCGGCGTTGGGGATGTAAGGCCAATCCACACTACATCCAAGGGCGTGTAGGGCTTAGCCTAAGCCTTAAATTCTAAACTCCAAGCCTAAAGCCTAACCCTAAACCATAAACTCTAAGCCCTAAACCCTAAACCAGGTTCAGGTCAGTGGTATACGGCCATGTACCTCTTTATTTTGAGATTCAGCCTGGCGCAGGATTACTCGGAACTAGAAAGCCAAACTGCTGTGGGTCTTCGGGATTTGAAGCCCCACCCGTTGTAGCGCTATGGTGTGTGGGCTTAGGGGTCTAGGGTGTAGGGCTGAAGGGGTTAATGTCTGGGTCTTAGACCCTAGGGTTTAGGGATTAAAGGGTTAAGGGTTGAGGGTTTAGGCTTAGGGGTTTAGGGCAGTCTTATTCCCCATTGTGTACCACTCATGGGAATCAAATGGACAGTGGAAAAGAACTTCGGAACATGATTGGACATTTACCTGGATTTGTAGGCATAATTCTTCACATATTTTGAGACTGGAGCCCATTGACTTTGTCGGAATCTACCCTGACCAACACAAACACCCGCAGAAGATCGGCAGCCCTAAGCAATCAAACACCCACGAATGCGGGAGCTTCGTGCAGGCGCCATACTCTTCCGAAGATTGGTCGAACTCCTACTACATGCCAGGCTTGCATCTAGTTTTTCTTCAGTAGCCCTAAACCCTAGGTGATATAAATAGTAGTAATAAGAATAGGGTACATATTGGGATAATATGGGGATAATGGAAAAGAACATGGAAACTACTATAGTATATTGGGGTTATATTTGGGCTTCCCCCTAAACCCTAAACCCTAAACCCTGGGCTTCCCTTGTCAGATTTGGTTTCGCAGTTAGCTACCTTTTTGGGACTTGACGTGTCTGTTGCGATGGAAGGTGGCAGAAGCGGAATTTGTTGGGATCTGTTTTGACATCCCAGAGCCTGCAATGCCTAATTTGTAAAGGGACTCTACTGGAACCCCAAATAGGGAACCCCAAGAATATAGTAGGTATATAATAGGAATATGAGGACCCTGGTAGGTATATTCCTATTATATTCCTCGAGTGGACATTGGAACTTCAGATGAGTAGTATTCATTAGGTGTACCCCCCACCCAGTAATAGTGACTATAGGGGACAATAGGGATTATATGAGCTATAGTCTAAACTCCTTAAAGGGGGTTATATAGGGGATTATATAGGGGACTACTAAGGGGTTATTAAGGGGGATGCCAGGAGTTTAGACTATATCTCATATTAGGGTCCTCTTATATTCCCATTATACCACTATTGCAGGGCGGGGGGTCCTCCTAAGCAATGCCTAATTTGGATGAAGCTGAGCTCCAGAGGGCTTTGAAACCTTAAACCGTAAACCCATAAGCCCCCAAGACCCAAAACCCTAAAACCTAAACCCATAAGCCCCCAAAACCCTAAACCCTAAAACCAGTAAAACCCAAAAACCCTAAACCCTAAACTCATAGGACCCCAAAACCCTAAACCCTAAACCCAGTCTTCAAGGAAGAGCCGCTCGGTTTGTTCCTTGCGCAAGTTGCAACACCAGAGCCTCGCGTAATCACCCTCCCCTCATCATGGTTTAGGGTTTACCTGGACCCCAAAAGTAGGTAAAATAATGGCCCAAAACCCTTAAACTCAGCCCAAAAAGCCATTATTCTACATACCTTTGGGGGGTCTAGGTAGAGTCTAGGGCGATGTGGGAATTGCCACGACGAGATAGTAAAATATTGTCAACGTCGATGTCGGAGTTTGTTTTCTCAGGACTGAGACAGTACGAGCTTCATGTCATGAATGGAGCATGGTCAACACAAAGCTCGGATTTCTTGGGCTCTTCTTACCCCGAACCCTAAGCCCCAAGCCGCAAACCCTGTAATCTTTACTTCTCCAAGCAAAAAGCTAGAGCCCAGTGTGTCCCCCCCCACCTTAAAAGCCCAGCCTCAATCTTAGGACCCTATAACACCGGTAACTCTCACACAGTAACGCTAGGCTCTTGCTTTTGGCAGGGAGCTTGGACATGATCAGCCCCAAATCTCCTTAGTAGCCTAGGGAAGCGCTGCAAAGATGCAGGTAGTGGCATCCTTCAGAGTTTTGCTGACTTGCTTTGGAGAACTTCTCCGGCCTCAAACCGTAAGCACAAGTTGCTAGACTTGCTGGTGGTTAGTAGGGAATAAGCGGCTATGTAATACAGGGGCTGTATAGGTCCTATATTCCCTTATTCCCTTCTAACCAGCAGTCAGCAGAAGTCTTGAACAAGAGTTGCGATGCCATCCTTCCGGGCCTTGAGTCATAAACCCTACGCCACAACACCCCCAAACTGACATGCAAGTCCATGTTACAATATAGCCATCTTTTTTGACGGGCCGCCCCTTTTGGGCCTCCATGTTAGTTTGGGGGAGGGTGGTCTAGGTCCAGAAAGACATGAGCAGGAGAGAGTGATCGAAGCATCAGTGCTTGGCGTGCCTGGCTGAAGAAGGCTGGGACGTTTCCTCGAAGGGATGATTATAGTAAATTACTAATAATAGGCTGGTATACATGGTTTAGAGTTTAGAGTTTTGGGTTTGAGGTTTATCCAGTTTAGCGGTTGCAGGGTTGCGGGCGCATGGTATGGCAGTCAGACACAGTACCTTCACGGGTACGAGGGATACTTTTTGAATTTGGAGATCCCAAGGGAAAAGAAGACGGAAACGCATCGAATGTGATCTTAGAAAGGGGTCAGAATGATGGTTCAACCCCACACATTCCTGGACCCCCAAAAGTGGGCAAAACCAAAAAACTTGGCAATATAATAGCCATAAACTCGAAACATAGTCAAATCGACAACTATTCTACATACTTCTGGGGGTCCCAGTTGAACCTTAAGCCCCGTACTGGGGTGGCCTCCGCGGAACCAGGACCATCCAAACCGGAAATAGCCAAAAGAGATTCGGAGATTAATCGAAGAGCTTGGCGCAGAAGTCAAAAATAGGCTCCTTGAGAAGGAACTTCCGACATGCCCTTTCTATCTCCTTTTCTTGTTGTTCTTGCCATCGTTTTTGAAGTTTCCTCTCACTCCTGCATTCTTTCTTTGTTCATTTCATTCTTTCATTGTTCTATGATTCTATTCATTAGTTCAGTCATTCTTCAGTTCTATAGCCATTGCTATCATTGTCAGTATTATCATCAGTATCCCTGAACCGCTATTATCATTATCACTCTCGTTCTTTTCATTCATTATACGTTTCCGCTCCGAGGCTTGCATTCACTTTCTTGTCAGCGGACCTCAACCGTCCTTCTTCAATTTCAAACCTCGAGTCGAAACCTTACTCTTGAACCCTAAACCCTAAACTCTACTTAGAGCAAACCTGGGATGCGGAAAATTGGAAGCACTGAAAGTTTTGAGCCCCAAAAATTCCCCGAACTCTCCAAATTCATGATGGTCCCCTGAAGGCTGTCGATACTACTGTGGACCCCTGATGAATAAACCCACTCCCCTTAATAGGGGTAATAATGGGGTTCCTAATATTTCGGCCCTTAAAAGGAGGGGGTTGATCAATCAGGGGTCTACATTACCCCACAAAGTCTAGTCTGGTGCTGTAGCTGCTGCATCTACCACTGATACTATTAGTACTTGTCTCCTCATCAGTGGTACTTTCAAAGTCAATGTGATACCGCGCAAATTTGGAGCGATTGTGTGCAAATAGAACCTGGTTGGCTTTTAGTGGGTTCTGCAAGGCTCGCCAAAGGTTTGTGGGTTTGGGCCTAGACCCTAAACCCTAATACCCTAAACCCTAAACCCTAATACCCTAAACCCTAAACCAAAAACCCTAAACCCTTATGTGAATCCTAAACAGCAGGAGGGCGCTCACTGCGTCGACCCTGAGGCAAGGTTGGGATTCTTCTTTGGAGGGTTGTTAGGGTTGTTAGGGGTTTAGGGGTTTAGGGGTTTAGGGGTTTGGCGGTTTAGGGTTTAGGGGTTTGGGGGTTTAGGAGTTTAGGGTTTAGAGTTGAGGGTTTAGGGTTGTAAGAGTGTCAGGGATGTGGGGGTCTACAGGGTAAAGAATGGAAAGAGTTGAAGCTTGAAAGGGTCTTTGGGGTGTGGACGAGTTTCAAGAGTTTGGGGGTGCAGGGCTTTCTTTCACAATGAGCGCCTTCACCTCTAGCATATTCAAGGAGATGATAGTGTGGACATGGTACAAGTACAAGTATACATGCATTGTAGTCTCCCTAAAGCCTATAAGCCCTAAACGCTACAGAAGTGTAACCCCTGTCTCACATTAATGACCTACTGTCTAAACTCCTGGTATCCCCCTTAATAGCCCTTATAGTAGTCCCCTATATAATGCCCAAAATGTCCCCCCTTTAAGGAGTTTAGACTAGAGCTCATATAAAGGACGTTCAGCCCATGGAGAAGGCTCAGGCTGTGGAGTTAAACAGTCAGGATGAAGATTCGCGATTCTCAATCAAATGGGTTTAGGGTCTCAGGGTGTAGGTTCTACACTAAGTTCAGTTGACGAGGAATAAGAGATTTTGCGAGAATGCGTGAAGAAACTGGCCGAAGAGCTTCTAGTGGGACCTGCTTGTAGAGGCGAAGTACAGGCAATACATTCTTACATGAGCTACAGTCTAAACTCATCAAAGCGGGTGTTATTCAGCGGATTCTATAAGGGACAGTTACAGTATAGGGGATATTAAGCGGAATACTGGAATTTTAGACTATAGATCATATGAGCTACTTTCAATATCAGTTATTAAGGGCCCCTTAGCAGTGGACATTGAGGTCCCTCTTGTAGTTTCGTATGGTCCGTTAGATTATGTAGGTCAATATGTAGCTTATATGCTCTCATACCCTATACCCTAAACCCTATATCCCTGTACATCCTACACATACATCATCTTTGCTGGTGGCCTTTCCTAGTATGCTATGACTACAAGGTCAGGGTTGGCAAGGACAGTCGCATGGCTAAACTTCAAAGAAAGCGACGGCTTATGCAGATGAGGATTCGTTTGATAGTCTGCTGTTGTGCCTCAGCCCCGTTAAGTTCACGAACCAGGGTTAAGGGTGTAGCATTTCTAGCACGTCCTCCGCATTGCCTTGTCAGAGGAAAGCACTGTAGTGCATCAATGGACCGTGACAGTCATGACGGCGGACACTTGTTTCATGTGTCGTCAGCACATAAGCGCAGATGTGGCTCACAATATTCAGGCGCTGTTGTTGAGGCTCCTTGCCGGAATGCTTCGCATATGGCGGATGTCAGGGCAGGAGCTGCCTGCGGTCAGCATCGAGGAGATTGAGAATGTGTTGGATTTGAAGGCTTCACTGCGCAGTCAACATGGCTTCCCAATGTGCATGCAGCAGTTGCTGCACAATGGCAATGGCTTGGACAATTCCACCGAGCTGGATGCCCCAATCGATTTACAACTAGTTCTCCTTGACCTCTGCACCGACGTGCAGATGGCTGAAGCTGCAAAGGAGCTTTTCGAAGCTTGTGTGCAAGGCGACCTGGAGGTTGCGAGGCTGCTTTTGGAAGCTGGCACAAACAAGAATCCTGAGGATCACGAGGGCAACACAGCCCTCATGCACGCAGCTTGGAATGGCCACGTGGAGATTGCACGGCTGCTTCTGGACTCCGGCGCTGACAAGGACCTGCAGAGGCACTCTGGCAACACAGCCCTCACGCTCGCAGCTGATAATGGCCAAGCGGAGATTGCACGGCTGCTTTTGGATGCTGGCGCTGACAAGGACCTGGAGACTCGCCATGGCTACACAGCCCTCATGCGTGCAGCTGAGAAAGGCCGCGTGGAGATCGCACGGCTGCTTTTGGACGCCGGTGCTGACAAGGACCTGGAGACCCGCTCTGGCTACACAGCCCTCATCCGCGCAGCTGAGCAAGGCCGAGTGGAGATCGCACGGCTGCTCCTGGACGCCGGTGCTGACAAGGACCGACAGGATCGCGGGGGCAACACAGCCCTCATGCACGCGGCTGATAATGGCCATGTGGAGATCGCACGGCTGCTTTTGGATGCTGATGCCGACAAAGACATGCAGGAGAACACTGGCTACGCAGCCATCATGCTCGCAGCTGAGCATGGCCACGTGGAGATCGCAAGGCTGCTTGTGGACGCGCGTGCTGACAAGGACCTGCAGGAGCACCTTGGCTACACAGCCCTCATGCTCGCAGCTATGAGGGGCCACGAGGAGATGGCGCGGCTGCTTTTGGATGCTGGCGCTGACAGAAACGTGCAGCAGAATGGCGACGGCTACACAACCCTCATGCTCGGAGCTAAGAATGGCCTTGTGGAGATGGCACGGCTGCTTTTGGAAGCTGGTGCTAACAAAGACCTGCAGGATCGCAACGGCTACACAGCCCTCATGCTCGCAGCTGAGAAGGGCCACGTGGAGATCACACGGCTTCTTTTGGACGCTGGTGCTGACACGGACCTGCAGCATAGCTTTGGCTACACAGCCCTTGTTTTCGCAGAATCGTGCGGCCACGGTGATATTACAAGGTTGCTGAGGGCAAAGGTTCGAAAGATCACCCAGGCAAACTGCGGTTCGGAGGACTTGAGCATCTCCCTGTGACCTTAATTGAATACCCGCAGGTTTGTGGTTAACCTACTAATCAGGGCGCACCTACTTCCAAACTGGATGTCATTGGATTGAATGCTCGGCTAACCCTGATTCTAGAAATGCATTTAAGGGTACTGTAGAAGAATGGAAAATAAAATGAAAACAGGGAGCATATAGTCGAGTTTAGCGTTTGGAGTTTAGGGCGTAATTTAGGGTTCGGCGTTTCAGGGTTTAGAGTTCACATATTAGGTTGTAGGCTGACTTAACCCTTCGCCCCTGAATGCCTGGAAGCCTGGACACCAAGCAAAATAATCCGGACCAGGCCTTTCAACAACTGCGTTGGCACACGGAAGCCGTTCGGAATCCTTAACACCCCAAACCCAGAACATTTGGTATTGTTTTTGCATCGCATACTGGGACCTTTGACAGGGGCTCCCAGTAATTACGCCCCTTTCCCCCGTTTGCTTTCGAATGAATCCCGTGCGTCGAAGAAGAGATGATGTTCTAATAACCCACAGCCCCATTGGGTTTTAGGGTTTAGGGTTTAGGAGTCTTAATCCTTCCTCATGCAGGATCCATGCGATCCAGGGTTTGTTGGGCTGGGAGTTTAAGGTTTAGGGCACCGTAGAATAAGGAGCTGCTGCATGGGAGGTGGTTTGAGTTGGTATCCCTCACCAGCACCCTGTTTTTCCTGTTTCCGCAAGAGTGACATTATTCATGGGGTAGTATCATCTCCATACAGAGTCACAACACAACCGACGACTTCAAGTGTACCCTCAAGAAGAAGGCAACACCTACTTTCAGATGGAGTCTCTGTTTTGCAGGGGGATATTTGGTAGTTTCCTTAAATAGGGGGACCCCAATATAGACCCCTACATACTATAATCCTCATTAAGAGACCATCAAAAACGTGCCCCTGGTTTTGGGGACCCCCCCATATGGATATCCATTTTGTACCATCTGCAGATAACCAGTTGAATCACTCACACCATTATGGCGGACGCTGGGGTAATATCTTTGGCCTCTACATGAGCTACAGTCTAAACTTCTAAAACGGAGTTATATATGGATAATATTGGGGATTATTCTAGTGGTGATGAAGGGGGATACTAGGAGTTCAGACGAGAGCTCATGTAATCTTAAACCCTGAAGCCTCAAGTACAATGCTTTCTCAGCTACCGAAGTAGGAATCTTTGAGTCGATTTCGAGGCAAGACTGAACCCAACAAAAACATGGAAGCCCATAACTTCCTGGTTCTCAGTAGGCAATAGTGTTTAGGGTTTAGGGTTCAGGGATAATCCCTATAGAGCCACTATACAATATATTCCATATTCCCTACTAACCTCCAGTCAGCAAAAGGGCTGCCTGCAAAGAGTACGGCCCTTCCAGGAGGCAACATGAGCTATAGTCTAAACTCCTTAAAGGGGGTTATATAGGGGATATATATAGGGGACTACTATAGGTCTTATTANNTTAGACTACAGCTCACATGGGGTTCCATTTTGGGGGGGGGGACTGCAAGCCCTGAGCTCTAGACACCAAAGCATTTGCTAAGCCAGAGTTTAGGGTTTCGGGTCTGGGGTTTAGGGTAGTAGGGTTGGGCGCCGGGTTTTGCGGTGTTATAGGGCTTAGGAGTAGAGACTTTGTTTAGAATTTTTGGTTTATAGGTTTTAGAGATTAGGATGCGGGGCTTTGGGCCTGGGGGGGGTGCGAGGCCGGCATGGGGCTCCGTGTTTTTTGTCAGCGATTCCTTGATGCGCCACAATACGAAACCCCTAACCCTCCAACCTGAAGCTTATAAATCTTAAACCCAAAGCCCCTAAGGGTCCAAGGACTCAAATAAACAGGGTTTAGGCCCCGCAGCACTCATATTATAGTAATTGGGCCCTAAAACCCTATTATTTGGGTCCTTGGACCCTTGGGAAGCCCTAAAGATCGGAAAGGTCTGTTTCCGGAATCTTTCACATGCATGTTTAAGCTGCAAGCCCATACACCTAAACAGCTTATTCCGGAAATCCAACCCTACTTAGAGCTACCAATGGAGTACATTTAACGGGATCCAAGATATGACATTTCCGAGCCAACCACTATAGCCAGCGCAATAAAGAAAAAGAAGCCAACGACATGCGTATCTCTATATATATATATAATGTGTATATATATATATATATGTATGCCCTAAACCCCAAACCCTAAACCGCGTCATTAACCCTAAACTGCATGCTTGCCTGCACCTGGCGTAGAATCAGCTGCCGCCGTCGCCGCTGTCCCGTGAAGTCCCATACTCAGCTGCCTGAAGAAAGGGTTTAGGGT